CCCCCAAAACCCCAAAACCCCAAAACCCCTAGGGTCATAATTAAAATTGAAAATAAAATGGAGAAGCTTAAAAAATCGAAAGTGGGTCCAAACGGCTCAAATCCTAAAATTCTAAAGAATCCTACATCCCCTGGATCACCTTCAAAACTTCCTCCTGCCAATCTTAGATCTCCAGGACACCAAAGAACCACAAGTTTACCCACAAACCTCAAACGTAACCTATCATTTCACTTGAGACTCAACTCTCTCTATGACAAATCACTGGTTTAAATGCTTAAAAAGATTTCTAGACTTCGTATCTGTCCTCCAAAACTTTGTTTTTAATTTTTCTTTAGCACACAAATCTCATAAGCACATCGAAGACTTCAATTAACAACCTATTCATATACGATCTGCCAGGTACTAAATGATTTGTAAAGCCAAACAAGAAGACGAATGTGCCTATTAACCAAATGTTCACCGGCCAGAGGTAAATACCTATGTTATTCTAGGAATCCTACCGATGCCAAGACGAGTCTTAGAAATCTCTGTAAGCTTCTTTCAGCAATATTCCACTTGCTTCAGCTTTGGTGATGTTCACCAGTGTAGTTTACATCAAGGATATCAAGAAGGAGCATGAATACATTGATATTGCCTCTAGCAAGGAGGTACTATGTAAGTCACCCTCTTAAAGGACCATAATGGCAGCTAATTCATACCTCATCTAGACTCTTGGCAGACCAAAGGTCTTAAGAATTACGGCAGCGATCAAAACTTTACCCTCAAACAATACAGAGCCCTAGTAAAGCAAGAGAAGGAAGATTTTTATAATTACCTGTTTAAGACAAAGAAACAGTCTCAAATTTTCGCAAATGACGAGACGAAGGCTGAGGAATATTTCAATAAATAAACAAGATAGGTTGGTCCGGAATCAATCTCAAAATACTCCAAAGGTAACCCCGCTCTGTAAAACCCTCTAGAAGCTTGTGACTTCCAGAGAGACTGATGTGGCCAAGAACCTTCAGGCTTTGGAGACTGCTCGGCTGGAAAAGAACAAGATGCTTGAGTAACCCCTGCTTAATAGTTTTTAGACAAAAGTTCAAACACAAAGAACAGCACATTAAGACTAAAAGGAATAAATAGAAAGTTCCAGACGGTTATTCATAAGGAAAGTTTAAACAAGCGGATTCTCAGAGCTAAAATTTTAAAAATCTTACAAGCAAATTTCGGAATTGACCTGTTCGATAAGACTCAGAAATTCAACAAGAACATTCAGCCTGGGGTAACTTGCTAATGCTCATAAACTAGACAGCAAAGTTCAACCTGAAATAAGCTGAAGAATAATGAGCTAGGGGGGAAGTCTAAGACCTGTCATTCCAAATGTAAGAGATCTCAAGAAGAGGAGGAACAAAACTTCAACCAAGATGTGAGCTTTTCACTCTCAACACCTATAGATTCTTGATCAAATCAAGCAATATCTAGTCGAAAACCTGACTGATGAAGAGATTCACACAGATATTGACTTACTCAGGAAGATCTTCAGTGACGAACAGAACATTTACGCGACTTTTGACCTTGACGAAGAAGACACTGGCATCAAGGATAGATACTACAAAAAGATCAACACCTTGAAGCAAGAGGAGATTAAGAAGAAAAAGAAGCAGGTCAAGAACAAGTTCAAGGTAATAGCTCTCTTCATCCTCTCTAGCACTTGAAGGTTGATAACTCGAGAAGGCTGTACGATAAAGTTCCTCGAAGGAACATTCCTAACACCCAGAGCTACATTCAGCTCGTGTCAGCTAGGAATCAGCTGACTTCTCTGAAGTCAGCTGATTACAAGTGGGGTGAGGAGAACATACGAGAGGATTTGAGGGATATTCAGCTAGAAAAATTAACCCTCAAGCAGAAATAACGCAGAGAATTTCCAAGCTGGTATTGACTTTACTCTGATTTTGTAGAAAAAGACAGGAAAAGAAAGGAAAACGCTACTGTTCTACGACAGAAACGAAATGAGTATAAGAAGAGAGTCCAGAGTGTCCAGAAGCAAGCTAAGCAAGAAGGTAAGGTAATTTAGGTGATATCTAGCCCAACTTGAAAAGTATTGGAAGAAGCTATATTCAAATTATCAATCTTAAGATACTTAGCTGGGGTTTTGGGGTTTTGGGGTTTTGGGGTTTTGGGGTTTTGGGGTTTTGGGG